TTAAACAAAAACAATATTCATCCCCTTACTTTTTCCCCAGCCCCTGTTCTGCCAAATTATTGACACACGCCCGTTAGGTATGTTACTTGCTCTTCCCTCCATCTCTCTTGCCTTCAATATCTCCTGTAAGTGTCAAATTCTTGCTTCATCTGACACAAAACGAAAAGACAATGTCACTACCGCACGTGACATGTACACCCATTGAAATCTAGCTTCATCTGACAGAAGCCGAAAAGGGTGTGCTCCCCAGGGAAGATCGGACTCAAAACACTTGTAATGGTCTTCCGGTGTTAATTATCACCCAGCGGCAAATGCTATGTAAATATTTCCGAGATTAACTTCATCTGGCAATAGAGCAAAAGAATGCGGCATCCAGCGAGGATTGAACTCAGTACACTTGTAACATTCTTCGAGCGCTAATTATAGCACAGCGGCAGTTTCCATGTTAATATTTGCAACGTTTTGGCACCGGACGAAAAGAATCGCGCACCCAAAGATGATTACAGACAATGCACACGTAATAGTAATTACCATTGTACATCTGGTACGATATAGGTATTTCTAAACTAAGTTTTGTCTGGCACAAGGCTAAAAGAAACAGGCGCATAGGAAGTACCGTCCATATTCTTAAAGTGTTAATTATTGACCTACGGTAGGATCCATATTCAAATATTTTACCTAGTTGTCATAGGACCAAAATAATTTAGGCAAGTTCGAAATTTCGAAGGCAAATTATTGAGCAGCTGCGAGAGCCATGTAGATATTTCTCACAATGGCACAAAGCGAAAAGAATGTATCATCGAAAGAGTAGAACCTCTTTCGATGAAAAAGGCATGAACCCATTGATTCTTCCCCACTCGCTCCGGTTTAAATAGCAGGGCTCTCTAGTCTTGGCTGAGAACTATGTCTAAGAGAAAGGAAACTTTGAAATTCACAACATAAAGAAGAAAGGGGAATTGTTAAGTGTTAAGGAATTGTCAGTATAATGATTTTTGAGGTCTAATTATCTATTTAAAGTATATGACACGTAGATATTTTTAAGTGTAATCTTATGTTAGTAACATCTGATAAGAATACGATATTAAATTTTCTACACGTAAAATAAGTGGTTATTCACTTATGGACTCCGTTAAAACGTAGGCTTAATCGAGGGTATGTGGTTTTGGGTTTCTCTCCCAGTCTTTGATCTTATTCTTATGAACATGTATTAGATTCTCCTTCTCCCTACGCAAGTCGGATGTTTATATAACTTTCTGTTATTCAATTGTCTCGTATGTGTATGTTGTATTTAGCTGGATTCACTTTCTTGTTAATGCTGGTGCGCCTATCGATATACTTCTAGGCCCAGTTCTGCAATTTGTGCCTTTGACCTTCTAAGGTCCGTTTTTTCGGGGCTCCTACATCTTTTGACATTCTGAAGTGACACCGAGTACAAAACTTGTTTTGGTATCTTAGAGTGAAGCCAGTAAATATTGTGGCCGCCATAGAGTAACTCTTCTTATATCAAGATTCCTAAATTCGACTCTTGGTATTTTCTGGCGTTAATCTCAGGCTACACTAATTGTAGACCAACAGAATGGAGAAATCAGAGAAATTGGCCAAACCACTATTGTTATGTTCGGGCACTTAGTTTCATTTCAATTGAAAAAACAAATATTTCTCACGGCTTTTGCTGCAAAAGAGTACTTTCTGAATTTATACAACACACAGTGTCTTAAGTGGTGTAATTGGAGAACGGCTCAGATTAAGGAATCGGAGAGCAGAGTTCGAATTCCAATCGAATCCATTACATTCATTTACGTGCTAAAATGTTTGGGAAAGGTATGAATCCTTTTTTCCCTCCCAGCTATGGGTAAATAGCAGGACAGACCTTGGATGGCAACTGGTCTACCGCAGAAAGAAATGGCAACCTATGACACGTCAGTCATGTATCGAAAGATACATGATCGCCTAAGCGTATATCACGTATGACACATAACTGACTGACCACAAATACCCCATTCAGTACCATAGATCTTATTTGATCTTAAACATTTCGGCCTGTCCCCTAGGGGCTGATTCCCGGTGCATCTCTGTTCATGAACGGGAATAGACGGGAAGCAAAAACTCTCTCATTCTAATAGGCTCATTAACTTTCTTACGTATAAGATAAATGAATCAATAAAGACTTGGATGGCAACTGGTCTACTGCAGAAAGAAATGGCAACCTACTCCGGGAAAAAATCTGTCTCGTCAGTCATGTATCGAAAGATACATGATCGCCTAAGCGTGTATTACGCATGCACATAAATGACTGACCATAAATACCCCGTTCAGTACGATAGATCTTACTTGATCATAACCATTTCGGCCTGTCCCCTAGGGGCTGATGCCCAGTGCATCTCTGTTCATGAACGGGAATAGATGGGAAGCACAAATTCTCCCATTCTAATAGGCTCAATAACTTTCTTACGCCTCAGATAAACGAATCAAAAAATAATTTTATTAATCAGAAAGTTAAGAAAACTGGAATAATAATAATAATAATAATAATAACAATAATAATAATAATAATAATAATAATAATAATAATAATAATAAGGACAGACCGGGTTCTATAGCCTTGGATGACAATGGCAACCTACTGCGGGGAAAAAAATTGTCTCGGCAGTCATGTATCGAAAGATACATGATCGCCTAAGTGTATATCATGCATGCGCATAACTGACTGAACTGAAGAATTAAGATTCATCAGAATGTTAACATAGGAAAAACGTTAAAATTTCACAGTTTAAAACTAATAATTTTTATCGTTATTTTACTGTACCTATTGAAAATATACACTCAAAATGATCATGTGAAAAATGCGACAGGACTTTCTTTCTAACCTAATATCTCTAAGCTTATCTTGGTCTGAATGATTAGTTTCTTCACAATATTTCTGCTGTAGACAAGATGAGAATTACGGCCCATTAAAAACCAAATAATTTAAAATAGATATTTTCTGAATCAGAAAAAAAACCGGCATTGTGTCAGCTGTTATAACAAAATGGCGAAAGAAATGCAGAGTGTAAAATGGAGAAAATTATTCTTTTTATTGGCAGGAATTCTTGTTTTTTTTTATTTCCTTTTATATTTGTTTTATTATATTTTCTTTTGTAATTGAATCTTTGTTGTGAGGGGAAAAAGAATGAACATTAAAGCATCTCGTAAAAAGCGAGAATGTTTTCGATGACCGTTATGCAATAAACAAATATTTGTGTATAAAACATTCAGAAATCACGTGTCACTGTAACAAGCTATTTATTCAAAAGACATTCTCCTCACAGCCATTCGCACGTCAAATATGCATAACGTAATTCTTACTTATATTAGTTTATACTGATACAGTTCCACGGCACTATGGCACCTAGTGAGGACCAATACCACTTTTAAAATAGCAATCATGGCTTTTTCCAGATTCCTTTTCTATACTGAGTTATTTTTGGTTTGGTTTGGTTTGGTTTGTTTTACAGCATATCAAACTCAATGGGTTATTTAATGCCGACAACTTTTTTTTCTAGTAATATTTTTTTTGCCAAAAAACTATTTCTGGTATTATTTTTTTTTCTTTAAAAATGTATAGCTGGTAATATTATTTTCAAAAACGTATTGCTGGTAATAATTTTTTTTCACAAATATATTGCTGCTATTTTCTTCAAAAATTTATTTCTGGTAATAATTTTTTACAAAGTATTTCTAGTATTAAAATCTATTTTTACACTTTTATAATGCTTTTTTTTTTAACCTAAGTTTCGGGGTTAACTATTTGCCCATAGCTGGGACCCTAACAGGTGCTACCACCCGGGCCAGGGTGGACCTGGGAACGCCAGCACTGAAGAGGTCGTTCTACGCTCCTCAAAACCTCCTAATCAGAGGCCTTGCTGCTGGACGTAGTTTATCGTCTTACCCTTGGCGCGTATGTAGTTTATCGTACAGGGTTATTAAAAAATAAAGAGGAAGTTTCGAAAATTTAATAAAAAAAACCAAGAGACAGAAACACCTTACTTTGGATAGGAAAAGATTCAAAGTTTATTATTTTAAGATTAAACCTCACAAATTGCAGTACAAAAAATGACGTTTGGCCGTTTTAAGGATCGACACAAATTATGGCAATTAAAATTTATACAAAATCAGAAAAAAAAACAACAAAAAGAAGCATTTAAATAAGAATGAAAAAATATTTTCCTCTCTAGTAATGTGTTTCCATCTCTTAGCATTTGTTTTTATTAAATTTTTGAAATCTAGTCTTTCTTTCGGAATAACCGCCATGACTTCTTGGGAAAGATAAAGGAGTAGTTCCCATTGCTTTCTCCGGGGTTTCATCTCAAAGTATTTCTTCTCGTACACTAATTGCCACCCAAGGCTAATGAGCGAAATCTACTTTTCTCTCTAAGACAAAGCTAGAGGAGAATAGACGTACTAGCGTGAAAGTGGATGCAACTGACTAGGTCAGATTCTGAACAAGGATTAACAATTCCCCTTTCTTCTTTATGTTGTCAATTTCAAAGTTTCCTTTCTCTTAGACATAGTTCTCAGCGAAGGCTAGAGAGCCCTGCTATTTAAACCGGAGCGAGTAGGGAAGAAGCGATGGGTTCATGCCTTTTCCCATTGACATTTTTGCGAAAGCGAACTCAACAGTGTAGACGGGAATTAACCCACAACTGGATTCAAAAAATCACCAAACAATCGCGCTACAGCAAGCCCCTTTGTATAGAGGAATAGATACAAGACAACAAACGCAAAACACACGACACTGAGATAGATATAAATAGTCTAAGATAGATAGATAGATCGTTTTTTTAGAAAAATCACTATTCTATGAATGGTTCTTCAAAATGGCTGTTTAAATGTTTTGCAGCCAGAAAATTGGAATAGATATTTTACGACTCTTTGAGTACAGCGCAAAAAAACTTGGATATGTAATTAAAGCTCAAACTCACTAGACTAATCAGTAGTAAATAAGAAGTCTTATTACAGACTGAGATAGATATAAACAGACTGAGATAGAAAGATATCAACATAATGAGATAGATAGATAGAGAGATAGATATCGTAAGCGTCCCGAGGATGGCTAGCCGCTTCTATCTTAGTATGCCCAGCTGACTAACTAATCCCCCATGATTGATACTGTTACTATGCTACACAAACTTTCGTTACAGTTTCTGGATGAGAGATCAACAGTGCAATTGGTTTAACACGCAGTCACGATGACTCGTGTTCTAGCATAAACATTCCAAACACTTCTGTTTGGCACATTTCACTAATAAACCGTAACATGATTTTCAGGCACTTCCCAAGGCTGAGATACCAATTCTATAGTAAAAAAAAAAGTTACATCCCTGACAAATTGAGCATACCAAATACGAAAGCAGGTCTTATGGTCGTCATACTAACGTTCTAACCACTTGCGTAAGCACCCTCTACTAATTTTAAAGGGTACAGAGCGATATGTATGCACTAACGATCGGACGTGCTTTACTCGTGAACTGTGTGCAAAAAAACGTTATAAGCATTATTCACTGACTGTCGAATATTGCAGTTATGTCTAAGATTAATTAGGACAAGGCTACACTTGATTGATTTCGATACACAAATTTTAGGGATTGTTTTGCCTGCCAATATGAGGCGGATTCGAATTCACATACATAGAAAGATGGAAAAATTCATAAATTTGAACTGAGATATTTTTTCACTTGATGTTATATATGTATACATAATGTGTTTTGAAACGAGGCTCAGATCTCGGAGAATAAAAATCGTGTCTTTATTTGACGGCACTTTACCTGAGTTCACTTGAATAAAAAACATAATGAAAAGTAAAACATAGATATGAACAGACGGTGATAGATAGATAGATATGAACAGACTGTGATAGATAGATAGATAGATATGAACAGACTGTAATAGATAGATAGATAGATAGATAGATAGATAGATAGATAGATAGATATGAACAGACTGTGATAGATAGATAGATAGATAGATAGATAGATAGATATGAACAGACTGTAATAGATAGATAGATAGATAGATGGTATTTATCAATCCACCCACGGGGATCGAATGTGGCACAAGGCCTTTTTAATGTGGGTATCTCTGAGACCGTAGGCCCAGCCAAAATAAATAACCATCCAAACCCGCCGAGGTGGGCCAGTTCCGTCAACCTCCCCCAACGAAACCCTACCCTTCGGCGAAGCTTCGTCAGGGTTCCTCTCTGCAAGCAGAGAGTTCGACAGACACCCGACTCGGCAGCTCACAAAGCGCAGATACTACACTTTGATCCTAGCCACCGGGCCGAGAGGGTATTCTTTTTATAGATAAGATAGATAGATAGATAATGAACAGACTGATAGATAGGTATGAACAGACTGATAGATAGATAGATAGATAGATAGATAGATAGATAGATAGATAGATATGAACAGACTGTAATAGATAGATAGATAGATAGATAGATAGATAGATAGATAGATGGTATTTATCAATCCACCCACGGGGATCGAATGTGGCACAAGGCCTTTTTAATGTGGGTATCTCTGAGCCCGTAGGCCCAGCCAAAAATAAATAACCATCCAAACCCGCCGAGGCGGGCCAGTTCCGTCAACCTCCCCAACGAAACCCTACCCTTCGGCGGAGCTTGTCCGGTTCCTCTCTGCAAGCAGAGAGTTCGACGAGACCGACCCGACAGCTCACAAAGCGCAGATACTACACTTTGATCCTAGCCACCGGGCCGAGCGGGTATTCTTTTTATAGATAAGATAGATAGATAGATAGATAGATAGATAGATAGATAGATAGATAGATAGATAGATAATGAACAGACTGATAGATAGGCATGAACAGACTGATAGATAGATAGATAGATAGATAGATAGATAGATAGATAGATAGATAGATAGATTGTTTAATATGAAAGGAAGGAAAGCAAGAAGAAATAGAGATAAGTAAAGATACATTGGTATTAAGTTGGCCTTGTCCTGAATGTTTATTGTTGGTTTTCCCGCTATCCGCACAAATGATCGAGAAAGTTCAGCTCATTTTTCCTGATAACTTTACCGCTCACCTGTCGTCGAGCTGTTAAACACGCGTTCGGACACCCGTGGGGTATCCCGTTTAGTCCTCATTTACAACAGCGGTTGGCTTTGAAATTGTTCGAAAATCCCAACAAGCCAGCCAATTCTTTCACCACATTCAATGAATGCGAGTGACTCGTTAAAGAAAGAACACGATATGTCAAGTTCCACTCGCTATGGGGTTCCACAAGATAAAAGAGTTACAAGAAAACGTTGGAATTTGGGCGGCTTTTAAATTGAGAGAGCTGTTTGCAAAACAATGACTTAATACCACTCACATTTAAGACATATATCTACTCTACGAACTGCAAAGAGATCAGAAAAATTGTGTGCGTTAACAAAAATTATCCGAACTTGATTGAAAGCGCTTAGTTCTGTTCGTGATACTCCATTTGGTACATTACTCACTTGGGGATCACCATCAGCAGTCTCATGTTCTTGTTATTTCGAACACAAGGTTCTAACGGTAACTTTAGTCTTCGAAAAAGCCAGAAAACGCAAGGAATGAAATCGAAACTGTAGAAGGCGGAGTGAGCGATCTAAATGCCGCGTTTTAAATATTAAAAGAACGTGACCATTTACACAAACAAGATCACTTTTAGGCGTCTAATTAACCCCACGGGAGAGTGTGTGTTCAGGCACGCGTAATAAGTATTGTAACTGGATCCCGAGGTAATCAAAATGGCTGGATACATTTCGAAAACACAACGTCAATTGGATTGGTGGTTTTGCTTTTCTGTTAATTTTACCCAAAATATTAATTCGCCCAAAAATAAAAAGAATTTATATTTACTAAAATTCAAATCAAATTCGCCCAGAGCGTGGCCCTTCGGTTGGGTTGACCTTTGCGATCGCCCCAAATGTGGGCGACTCGGATGCGCTATTTCTAAGTATGGGGTCTGAATTCGCGCTCACCCTGATAAACAAGCCAAAAACAGATTTTGTTCTTTTTTTATTGTAAAAAAGTTCCTTGTAAGTACTCCAAATACCATTCGTACTTACGAAATGTGAATAACTCACTGATATTTGGTAATTTTTCATTCTGAAAGTTGGTGTTGTTGTGAGGCAAGCTAAACAAATTTTGATTTCAAATTTATAATTTCAAAAGACTGTCAAAAATTTGATAAAAAAACAAACTTTGTTATTTACATTATTCAAACTCTTATCCTTATCTTCATTGCCATATTCACAACGTTTCGGCTGTTGTACACTCCGAAAATGAAGATAACAGTTCGAATATTGTAAATAATGTGAAAATTCATAATACCTCATCTCAGAGATATAGACGGAAAACAAGCTTTGATTTAAAAATTAACATTTCTTAGGGTCAATAAATATTTGCGATAAATAACTTTACATCATTTGGGGTGAATTAACAGAAAAGATCCGTCGTTTTTACAACATATCATTTCTTGTTGTTTTAATTAATGATGGAACCAGTTTTCTTTTCTTTTATTATACTTGAGTAAGCATTAGTTGTGTTTACAAATGAGCCGATAAATATTTACTTGGCAGGTGGCACATTTTAGGTGCCATGTCTTACTACTTCGCAATGAAAGCAGTTGGTATATTCAAGTCCCCGACGATAGAAAAGAAACAGATATCGTGTATATATATATATATATATATATATATATATATATATATATATATATATATGTGTGTGTGTGTGTGTGTGTGTGTGTGTGTCTGTGTGTGTGTGTAAAAATATATAGAAAATAGGAAAGAATGTAGCGTCGGAATCATATTTTTAAATAAATAATTATATATATATATATGTGTGTGTGTGTGTGTGTGTGTGTGTGTGTGTGTGTGTGTGTGTGTGTGGGTATGTAAAAAATAGGAAAGAACACGTTAGGTAAATAATCCGGAGTTCTTTAGTATTTTTATTTTTTAAAAACAGTGCTCCATACAGAAGTAGAGCTTAGATTATAATTATTTTTTTAAAATATGATTCCTTCGCTACATAAGAGTTCTCATGTTTCAAAAACGAGAGCCGAAAAAATAATTATATATATATATATATATATATATATATATATATATATATATATATATATGCGTGTGTGTGTGAGAGAGAGATCGGAATGAATTGAGGTCGATCCCAGCGTTCGGCACATTTGGAAAGTGCTTGAAAACATACCACGGGTTGACCCAGGCCTTGTGAGTGAAATTGGATAGACGGGACTCTTGAGGACCGTCTATAGATGTGCTAGCATAAAGCCACAAGTCATCGTGGTCGAGGGCTTGAGCGTGCTGGCCTTATTCAAAATGTTTATCACACTAGATAAAAAGCTCTCTCCTAGAAACTGCAGTATAAATCACAGTTGGGCTCTGTGCGGGTGACGAATTATTCTCCACCCTCCAACTTCTCTCCTACAGGCGGGATGGGACAAGCCTGTCGCTGCTTTACCGCTACTTCCACGGTAAGTGCTCGGAAAAAGTACACTCCCTGGTCGCGCCAGTTTAAACATTCACAGCAAGGACAATCCATGCCATTTACATTGTAGCAAACCACCTATATTCCCTCCGTATTCCAATCGGTGAGAAATAAATTCCACTGGAACAGCTTCTTCCCGCGAAGCACGGCTCTTTGGAATCGACTCCCAAGAGGATGTTTCTCCGACCACTACAAGGCTAGGGTTAACGGTTATCTTCCACTCCTATACGCACAAATTGTTCCCTAATGTAACCCTCTACCTCGAGTGCAACCCCCGGACTTTAAAAATCAAGACAAATTATTTTTCGCTATTTCTATGAGCCTTCCGATGTCTGCGTTACATTGTCCAGTATCTGTTACTACATCATATATAGTTAAATTCATGTACCTACTTGATTTTGACATCCCCAATGTGTAACTCAGACTTTGGGTTGTTTATTTTGTTGACGACCATTTATTCTGTCTTTTATAGTTAAGTTCTTTCTTTTTAGTTTACATTATTTGCTTTTTACGTTTGCCATCAATCTCCTCACAGATGAAGGAGAAACTTGAAGCAACATAAATGTGTTTCTACAGAAGGATGCTGAGAATACCATGAACCGAAAATACGAAGATACAGAGAAAGTGGAAATAAAAAGGACACTTATACTTAACATAAGGAAGTGAAAGTTGAAATTTCTAGAGCACATAATGAGGAAAAACGCTTTGAAAATTTGATACTCACTGAGCATATTGAAGGCAAGAGGGACAGATGAAAACGACGCATAAGCTACCTGGCGAACTTGAGTAAATGGATGGCAGAACGAGGTTTAGGAGAGATAACAAAACGAAAAAAAATATTATTAAGAGCTACAAATAAAAGGAAAGTGTGGAGAGCCAATTTGCGCCAACGTCCTGATAACTCATTCGTGTTTTTAATTGACAACTAATCTAAAAATATTTCTTTCAGGCACACCCAGAAAATACTATTTTATGGCAGACGATAAATAAAGTTGTTGGCTTACATTTCATTTTTGCGAATGGTTGACATTCATACAACACATGGAAATGGCGAAAATCTTTATCCAAGTTCTTCAGATAAAAAGTGGATTCTTATTTAAATCTCATAAAATGTAGAAGGAATCGGAAACAAGGGACAAACCTCTCCTCCTGTTCAAAAGACTGGGGTGGCGTGTAAACAAATGCTAAGCGTCATTCATTTATTCATTCATTCAACCTGTTCGTCTTAAAATATTTCTTTCTTTTTCCTTATTTTCTTTCTCACTCGTCAATCTTTCTTTTTCTTTCTCTTTTCTCGTCCTTGAAAGAATTTCTTCACTTCCGGTATTTGCCTTCTTTCCAATTTTCTTCTTTCTTTTCTTTTTTTTTTTTTTTTTACATTTTTCTATTTTGAACTATTTTTGTTTTTTCTTTGACTCTATTTTTCTGCACCTTTTTCTATCTTTTTGCTACCATTTCTTTCTTTTTCTTTCCTTTTTTTCTTTCTTTCTTTCTTCCTTCCTTCTCTATTCTTATTTCTTTCTTTATTCTTCACATATTTCTTTAATCTTTCTTTCTTTATCTTGCTTTCTTTTATTTATTCCTCTTTCTTTCTTCCTTTTTTCTTCTTTCTTTACTCGTCTTTCTTTCTTACGTTCTTTATTCTTTGTTCTTTCTTTAATCTTCTTTTTTCTTTCTTTCTTTTTCTTTCTTCATTCTTCTTTCTTTATCCGACTTTCTTTCTTCCTTTCTTTAATCTTTCTTCCATTCATTCTTTCTTTCTTACTTTCTTCTTCTTTCTTTATTCTTCAAATAGCACTTTATTCTTCATTCTTTCTTTCTTTCTTTCTTCATTTTTCTTGCTTTATTCTTCTCTCTTTATTCTTCATTCTTCTTTCTTTATTTGTCTTTTTTCTTTATTCTTCTTTCTTTCTTTCTTTTTTCCCTTTATTCTTCAAATAGGTCTTTATTCTTCTTTCTTTCTCCTTTTTTGCCTTTCTTTCTTTTTCTTTCTTTCTTTGACACTCATTCATTTTTTTTTCCATCCATACATTTACGTCTTTTTTTTTTCGTTATTTAATTTTAATGTTTGCCTTTCCCAGACATTTTACTTTAGTTTTCTTTCTTCGTCTTTCTTTTTCCTTCATACAAATTTCATTCTTCTTTTGAATTCATTCTACTTTTCTTTTTATCTGTTTTGTCTTTCTTTTCGTGCTACTTTTCTCTTCATTCTTCCTGTCTTTCTTTGTTTTTTTTTATTTTCCTGTTCTTCCAAGTAGTCTCTCTCTTCTTTGTTTCAATTTTCTTTCTTTTCAGTCTTTAAACGTCTTTTTCCTTCTTGCTTCTGTTACCTTACCCTTTTCTTTTCTTTCTTTCTTTCTTTCTTTCTTTCTTTCTTTTACTTGAATTTTCAGCCTTAAACTTCTTTGCTGTTCAACCCCACACAAATCTGACTCAACCCTTT